ATGAAGGAGATTATCCCAACGGGAAGGTTGCATTATTACATATCGACTGAATGATGAAGGAGATTATCCCAATGGGAAGGTTGCATTATTACATATCGACTGAATGATGAAGGAGATTATCCCAACGGGAAGGTTGCATTATTACACATCTACTGAATGGTGATGGACATTAACCCAAAGGGAAGGTTGCATTATTACACATCTACTGAATGATGAAGGATATTAACCAAATGGGACGGTTGCATTATTACACATCTACCGAATAATGAAGGAGATTAACCCAATTGGAAGGTTGCATTATTACACATCTACTGAATGGTGAAGGATATTAACCCAATGGGAAGGTTGCGTTATTACACATCTACTGAATGGTGATGGCCATTAACCTAATGGAAATCTTGCATTATTATACATCTACTGAATGATGAAGGATATTAACCAAATGGGACGGTTGCATTATTACACATCTACCGAATAATGAAGGAGATTAACCCAATTGGAAGGTTGCATTATTACACATCTACTGAATGGTGAAGGATATTAACCCAATGGGAAGGTTGCATTATTACACATCTACTGAATGATGAAGGAGATTAACCCAATGGGAAGGTTGCATTATTACACATCTACTGAATGGTGATGGACATTAACCCAATGGGAAGGTTGCATTATTGCACATCTACCGACTAGTGATGGACATTAACCCAATGGGACGGTTGCATTATTACACATCTACTGAATGATGAAGGACATTAACCCAATGGGAAGGTTGCATTATTACACATCTACTGAATGGTGATTGACATTAACCTAATGGGAAGGTTGCATTATTACACATCTACTGAATGGTGATGGACATTAACCCAATGGGAAGGTTGCATTATTACACATCTACTGAATGGTGATGGACATTAACCCAATGGGACGGTTGCATTATTACACATCTACTGAATGGTGATGGAGATTAACCCAATGGGACGGTTGCATTATTACACATCTACCGACTGGTGATGGACATTAACCCAATGGGAAGGTTGCATTATTACACATCTACTGAATGGTGATGGACATTAACCCAATGGGAAGGTTGCATTATTAACACATCTACTTAATGGTGATGGACATTAACCCAATGGGAAGGTTGCATTATTACACATCTACTGAATGGTGATGGACATTAACCCAATGGGACGGTTGCATTATTACACATCTACTGAATGGTGATGGAGATTAACCCAATGGGACGGTTGCATTATTACACATCTACCGACTGGTGATGGACATTAACCCAATGGGAAGGTTGCATTATTACACATCTACTGAATGGTGATGGACATTAACCTAATGGAAATCTTGCATTATTATACATCTACTGAATGATGAAGGATATTAACCAAATGGGACGGTTGCATTATTACACATCTACCGAATAATGAAGGAGATTAACCCAATTGGAAGGTTGCATTATTACACATCTACTGAATGGTGAAGGATATTAACCCAATGGGAAGGTTGCATTATTACACATCTACCGAATGATGAAGGATATTAACCAATTGTATGCCTGCTGAACTGAGCCTCTGTATAATGGTTAAGTAGATTTATATCAGAAGGTTGCTGAAAGGAGAGATCGCGTAATGGAGGTTTAACATTGTGTGTAATTGAATGTGATTAATAGGACATTAACGTACTGAAGAGGTTGCTGAGGTCTGATAAATAGTACATGATGAATGAACAAGTGAGTGAGTGAGTGAGTGAGTGAGTGAGTGAGTGAGTGAGTGAGTGGGTGGGTGAGTGAGTGAGTGAGTGAGTGAGTGAGTGAGTGTGTGTTTGACGCCGCTCTTAGTAATATTCCAGCAATACCACGCTGGGGACACCGGAAATCGGCTTCACACATAGTAGCTATGTGGGGAATCGAACCCGGGTCTTTGGCGTGACGAGCGAACGCTTGAACCACTAGGCTACCCCACCGCCCCAGTACATGATGAAGTGGCATATCTACATAATGAGAAGACCGCTGCAAGGTGCGCCTCGTAATGGGGGTTTGCTAAAGGGAGGTTTGCAAAATGTGAAAGTGATCAATGGTAAAGTCACATCTAGGACATGTTGTGAAGAGTCTGTGTATAGAGACACGTGATTTGATTCCTTGATTTACTGAAGTATGAGTTATCTTGTTCTTGTTGTTGGTTTGTTGTGTAACGCCGCACTCAGCAATATTCCAGCTATATGACGGAGGTCTGTAAATAATCGAGTCTGGACCAGACAATCCAGTGATTGACATCATGAGCATCGCTCCACGCAATTGGGATCGATGACATGCATCAACCAAGTCAGCGAGCCTGACCACCCGATCCCGTTAGTCGCCTTTTACGACAAGCATAGTCGTCTTCTACGGCAAGCATGGGTTGCTGAAGACCTATTCTATCCCGGAATTTTCACGGGTCTATGAGTTATCTTAATGAACAGGTAACTAAATAGTGCGCATATGTATCGGGAAGATGAATTGGGCGCGGGTGGCCACGCTTCAATTCGAGCTGCTTCTCTATACAATGCCAGAAACAATGAATGTGGGTTCGAATCCCAGTTTGTCCTGATCATGTTTCTAGGTTTGACAGCAACATACCCGTGCTCGTGGGTTTAACCTAAGACCTGCATTAATTCAAACTTTCCTCCCACATCAAGCTGACAGGCTATGATATATCTGAATATTGTCTTATGCTGTCGTCTTCTCAGGCAACTATTGCTTCATCCCCATCTGAATGTTTATAAATAAATAGCGTCAACCCAGACAATAACAAGTATCGATTGATTACATGCCGAAACAGACGCCACTGGACGTAAAAGGCAAAATAGCCGTGAAAGTTATATGAACGGATAATTGAAAATCAGAGAGAGTGAGCGAGTTGGGTTCGCCGCTTTTAACAGTATTCCAGTTATATCACGGCGTGTCAGCTTAATGTGGGAGGAAAGCCCGAAGTGATGCAGGTCTCAGACGTTTACCACTTCGGTGAAACCCACGAGCACGGGTATGGTGCTGACGAACCTACAAACATAATCGGGGCGAACCGGGATTCGAGCCCACAATCATAGGTTTCTGACGTGTCCAAGGGACACAACTCTGCACAGCGAATCGCGGCGCCTTAGACGACTGGGCCACCCGTGGTCCCTGAAAATCAGAGATGACACCGGGTGTTCCGGCAAAGGTGAGCATGTCCTGCCCGACCTATACACGCACATTGTGCTGTTATTTGAAACACAAACTCGGCCAGTTAATTACAGAATAAAAATTTATTATCACTCATGTATTTTATATATATCACACGTACAAAATTGGTCACATTTGTCACATATAAAAAAAGAAATAAATTATCGCTATAACTATGTCAATATTTTACCGGGTGTTTAAAAAATCGACGAAACCCTTTCCATTATGATAAGAGTGAGTGAGTGAGTGAGTGAGTTGGGTTTAACGCCGCTATTAACAGTATTCGAGTTATATCGCGGCGTCTAAGCTTAATGTGGGAGGAAAGCCCGAAGTGATGCAGGTCTCAGACGTTTACCACTTCGGTGAAACCCACGAGCACGGGTATGGTGCTGACAAACCTAGAAACATAATCGGGGCGAACCGGGATTCGAACCCCCAATCATAGGTTTATGGCGTGCCCAAGGGACGCAACTCTGCACAGCGAATCGCGGCGCCTTAGACGACTGGGCCACCCGTGCCCCCCATTTTGATAAGAAATATCGGCCCAGGAGTCGGATGCACGATTCCTACTACATTATGAGCATGTGTTTATGAATTACAATCAATTAGAGATGATACCAGGTTTCCGTGAGGAGCTGAGCGTATCCTGCCCCGCCTGTGGCATCCGCCACACGTGCAAAGGCAAGTCAATTATACACTCATACAACACGGAAACATATGGCACAACTCTAAATAAGTAATTACATCGGAGGAAATTTTGGTCACTGATTTTGGTCAAATTTGGAAATGTCCTCAACATGTCTACCATAAAGGTTTATGAAAACTTTACTAAGACCTTGAATGTTATAGCCCTGATTAAACAATTAAACAGCTCATATGGCGCTCTTTCAAATCTTAGTAGAAAGCGCAAGCCCGATTGTAGTGAGTGAGTGAGAGAGTGAGTTAGTTGGGTTTAACGCCGCTTTTAATAGTATTCCACTTATGTCACGGCGTGTCAGCTTAATGTGGGAGGAAAGCCCGAAGTGACATGCCCGATTGTACATCATTAGTTGTGTTATGTGTACACGAAAGGCTGGAGCTGTTGGAATATTACTCGACAAAAAGGGGGAATTTCAATGGTGAAGTCATCCCTCTTTTATGACCGCCTCCGTGATCTAGTGGTAGAGCGTCTGCCCGGAGAGCGGAAGGTCCGGGGTTCGATCCCCAGCCGCGTCATACCAAAAGACGTTAAAAGATGGTACTTGTTGTTACCCTGTCTGACGCTCGGCATTAAGGGGCTTAAACAAGGACTGGTCGGCTCGGAGTCAGTATACTGTGTATGAGTGGGGTATTCATGTTAAACTGCGGCATGGTATCTCAGTGTGCTAGCACTATAAATCGGCATCAGTCCGGACTAGTACAAGCAGCCACACAAACACACACACGTACATGCACGTCGCTATATAAGTGCAATAATCTTGGTCGCGACGTTAAACCCCATTTCACCTCATCCCTCTTTTCATACAGTATTGTGGAGAGTTTTTTGTCATTGTATGCATAGATTTAAATGTAAGACACAGATGAGGCGGTTTCACCGGTCTCTCATTCCCAGCTCCGGTGAGTAAATCAGTGGAAGGAAATTGGCTATTTTTATAGGGTATAAATACAACTGCCAATGACATATGACATAAACAGCATGTTCCATAGATACAAACAGACCTATAAATATGAACTTGGGGTTATAAATATCACGTTAATTATTGGGCACAGGAGTTAATAAACATTACTTGGATGAATCTCAATAACAAGCTAAACGTTGAAATCGCATATTTTAAATGGCAGATTGCACATATAAAATCTTTAACAGACAAACATATATAAAAACAATAGATCACTCTGCGCCTGAGCATAAATATATTTTACAAATCTGAAAACACTGACATGGCAGATCTACGCAAAGGTAATCCTGCAGAAGGCCGTGGGGCACTCCTTAGCGATGTTGTAATAGGACGCGCACCACAAGGCAAAGTCTGGTCTGGACTGAGGAACGCACTTTCGTTCACTTGGAGGTCTAGGTCGAACCCCAGTGTCCTCTCCTTCCGGACATGCGCAATAGCATATATGGTTTGGGCAGTGGCCGAGTAGGCAGTTGTCGTGACACCATTCGTCACCTATATAGCTGAATTTGGAGTAGCAATGATAATTTGGGGAAGATGAATCGCATACTGGTGTTGTCAATGTTGCCGTGGTTGTTGTTGAAGATGCTGTTGACGATATTGTGGTCGAGTCTGTTGTTGAGTCTGTAACTGGTTCTGTCGTCTCTGGTGTTGGTTTTGTTGTTGAGTCGGTTGCTGACGAAGAGTCTGTCGTTGTCGAGGCAGTAGTTAAAGCTTCTGTCGTTGTTGATGGAGTGGTTGATTCTTCTGTCGAAGGTGTCATTGTCGAGGCAGTTGTTGAGCCTTTGGTCGCTGTCGAGGCAGTGGTTGATTCTTCGGATGATGAGGCAGTGGTTGAGCCTTCTGTCGTTGTTGAGGCAGTGGTTGATTCTTCGGATGATGAGGCAGTGGTTGAGCCTTCTGTCGTTGTCGAGGCTATGGTTGATTCTTCGGTCGTTGTCGATTCAGTGGTTGATTCTTCGGATGTTGAGGCAGTGGTTGAACTTTCTGTCGTTGTCGATGCAGTGGTTGATTCTTCGGATGATGAGGCAGTGGTTGAGCCTTCTGTCGTTGTCGAGGCTATGGTTGATTCTTCGGTCGTTGTCGATTCAGTGGTTGATTCTTCGGATGTTGAGGCAGTGGTTGAACTTTCTGTCGTTGTTGAGGCAGTGGTTGAACCTTCTGTCGTTGTCGATGCAGCGGTTGATTCTTCGGATGTTGAGGCAGTGGTTGAGCCTTCTGTCGTTTTTAAGGGAGTGGTTGAACCTTCTGTCGTTGTTGAGGCATTCGTTGAACCTTCTGTCGTTGTCGATGCAGTGGTTGATTCTTCGGATGTTGAGGCAGTCGTTGAGCCTCCTGTCGTTGTTGAGGCAGTGGTTGAGCCTTTTGTCGTTGTTGAGGCAGTGGTTGAACCTTCTGTCGTTGTCGATGCAGTGGTTGATTCTTCGGATGTTGAGGCAGTGGTTGAGCCTTCTGTCGTTGTTGAGGCAGTGGTTGAGCCTTCTGTCGTTGTTGAGGCAGTGGTTGAGCCTTCTGTCGTTGTTGAGGCAGTGGTTGAGCCTTCTGTCGTTGATTCTTCAGATGATGTCGGGGAAGTGGTTGACACTTCTGTCGTTGATTCTTCAGATGATGTCGGGGAAGTGGTTGACACTTCTGTCGTTGATTCTTCAGATGATGTCGGGGGAGTGGTGGAGGATGTATCTGCTGCAGTTGTACCAGGTGTTGTCGTCATGGTAGGTGTAACGTCATTCACAGATGAGGTCTCAATAGTAACACTACTGGGAGACGCTGCAAGAGTTGACAAGCCACTGGAGAGTCCCGGCGAGAAGGACGGAGTATGTCCAGACACTGCACTGTTCACCTCTATGCTCGTCGTAAACAGTGGAGGGATGGACAGGATTAGAGTGGTGATTCCCCCATCAGAACTACTTACTGGAAGCGTTGAAGATGGAAGGATGTCAACACTTGTCGATAGGGATGAAGGTGTTTCTAAGCTTTGTGACGATGATGCTGTGGATGTATCTATGATCGTCGAGGCTGGTTCGCTCAAGCTTGTAAGTTGTACGCTCTGTTCGGGTGTTGATGTGGTTGTTATCATGATTGGGGAGGATGGGTCGCTCATAAGAGTCCCACTTGATGATGTTGCTGTCTCCATGAGAGACGTCTCTGCACTTGAAGGAAGCATGCTTGAGCTTTGTATTCTCACACTGAAGTCCGATGATGACGATGGAGCTATTGATGTCTCAAACATAGAGGAGGTTGAATCGCTTACACTAGTGTCCGCTGATGATGTCTCCATGATAAGAGACTTGTCTGCACTAGTTGGAAACACGCTTGAGCTCGATAGCTCCACACTAGATGCTGTTGACTGTGGTGGGGAATTGGTCGTGCTCAAAGTGTTCTGAATGCGAATGTCTGCACAGTTATAAAACTGTTCCTGAGGCCCACAACCTCGGAAGGGACAGTTCTTTCCACCATATCGATAACCTGAAATTAGATAATAGGTCAACGTTGTTATAAGGGAAACGCAATTTTTCTAGGCATTATCATTTGAAGAAACCCGAGGTCTTCCATTAACTGCCCGACGAAGGAGGGCAGTTAAAAAGACCTAGGGCTTGTTTAAAAAACCCATAATACCACGCCTTTTAAAAACATGCGTGGTTTGGAATATAATGACATACATATAATAACAGATATCACAAACCTGTGTTATACTTGAACTGTAAAACACAGTGTTCACATGTGATGGCAGGTGGGAGAAGAACTTTGGAGACGACTGTTCCGTTGAAGCTGCCAGGATAGTACTGCGTCTCATTAAGATCTTCAATAACCAGCAGGTTCTTGTCAAAACAAGCTTGAGTTGCCGGCCCCTTGATTTCGTCAAGGTCGCACAGGCGGAACTCGAAATACCCCAACTGTTGAGGCGGCCATATTTCTACCCTCACCGTCACGGAGGCTGCAGGTTGGAAACTTCCGGCGATGATGCCGACTGCGTACTTCCCATCATCCTCGTTTTCGCGTTCACCATCACATGGATCTCCACAAGGGCCACAACACCCTTCGTCTTCTATGGTCAACCATTGATGCTGTAACACAGAACATTCAGTGCATTAAGATATTCTTGTGTGTTGTTTAACACCGCACTCAGTAATAATACAGCTATATGACGGCGGTTTGTAGATAAATGAGTCAAGGTCAGACAAACCAGTGATTGATATCATGAGCAACGGTCCATGCCGTCGGGGTACGCTGACACGCACCAATCAATCTATCCAGCCTGAACACCCAATCTATTTAGTCGCCTCTTACGGCGAGCATTGGTTCATGCGGACCAACATCCGGGTAACAATAGGTCTTCAGCAACCCATGCTAGCCGTAAAAGGCGACTATGCTTATCGTAAGAGGCGACTAACGGGATCGGGAGGTCAGGCTCGCTGACTTGGTTGATGCATGCCATTGTATCCCAGTTGCGTAAATCGATGCTCATGATGTCAGTCACTGGATTGTCTGGACCTTATTCGATTATTTACAGACCGCCGTCATATGAGTGGACTATTGCTGAGTGCGGCGTAAAACTTTAAACAAACAAATCATGCGGACCTTTTCTAACCCGAATTCCTAACGGGCGAGTAGTGATACAGCTGTCAAAGCAGCTATTACGCAGCCACTAAACGCTACAGTTGGCTATGTAACTCTCGGTAAATACGGAGTTAATATGATGTCGTTGCATGATGCCCTGCCACGTAATAAACTTTTATGCACATTGAAAGTGTAAAATACATCTACACGTATTTCTAATAGTTTATAACTAAGGCAAATATTGCGAATCGGATCAAAATATTTATTCACTGGTAAATATTTGTTATTATAATGCCTTCTAAATTCTTCTGCGACCGCCTCCGTAGTCTAGCGGTAGAGCGTCCGCCCAAAGAGCGGAAAGTCGGGGGTTCGATCCCTGGCTGCGTCATACTAAAGGACGTAAAAAGTAATGGTACTTGTTGTTACCATGCCTGGTCCTCGGCATTGAGGGTCTAAAACAAGGACTGGTCGACTCGGAGTCAGTACACTGTGTCTGAGCGGGGTATTCATGTTAAACTGCGGCAGGGTATCTCAGTGGGCTAGCACTATAAAGTCGGCATTAGTCGTCTAAAACCCCTCCAAATCGCTGTGCTAAATTGCGTCTCATGGGCACGCCAGAGACCTATGATCCTAAGGCCGAATCCCGGTGCGCACCAATTATGTTTCTAGGTTTTTCAGCACCATACCCGTGCTCGAGGGTTTCAGGTCAAAGACGTGCATCACTTCAGGCTTTCCTCACACATTAAGCTGACCTGTCGTGTTATCACTGGATTACTGGTCAAAACGGTGTTAAACCAAGCTCACACACACACTCTCACGATACGGCGCAAATCAAACGATGAAACTAAACATATTCTACAGCCGCACGAGCACGGTGCCACATGGAAAATGGGTTGCAGAAAACCTAAGACATCGTAATTAACACCTTTCTTTACCTTCAACCAGGGAAACTATACAAAGACTTCCAGCTTCAACGATAGTGTCATATGTACTATGTGTAGTACCCCTGAACTCTATAGATAGCTAGTAGGCCTATTGGGGCGGTCGGGTAGCCTAGTGGTTAAAGCGTTCGCTCGTCACGCCGAAAACCCGGGTTCGATTCCTGACATGGGTACAATGTGTGAAGCCCATTTCTGGTGTCCCCCGCCGTGATATTGCTGGAATATTGCTAAAAGCGGCGTTAAACCATACTCACTCACTCACTAGTAGACCTCTTGTTGAGGAGGTATAAATGGGCTGGGGCGGTGGTAAGTCTTGGTTAAGAGGTTTGCATTATTATGTAACGTGCGTCGTGTTCGTAGCCCACGTGTTGTAAGTAGGTAAGCGACCCCTTCAGTGGGGGATATCGATCACAACGCCTCGAGCGTTAAAGTCCAGATTGATCGCTAGCGTATTCGTAACGTTACAATTAGAAGGTAATTAATTTAGGGCGCAGGCAGCACACGATCAGACCTGTTGATATGGTCTCTGATTATTAGAAGTGAAAAAATGTAACAGGACATCGAACTGATCGATTTTGATATACGGTGACCAAAACATATTCTGCCGCACTGGCAAATAAGGACAGCTCTTACTGGTTATATAATTCATTTCAGAGACGAGGTACGTAAGTTCTGATGTTATGTATAGCCTAAGGTGAGGTGAGGTGAAATTGGGTTCAACGTCGCGTGGCTACGGCCGGTGACCCGGCTTCGAGTTCCCCACATGGAGACAATGTTGTTTGTTGTTTAACGCCGCACTCAGCCTTCCAGCTATATGACGGCGGTCTGTAAATAATCGAGTCTGAACCAGACAATCCAGTGATTAATCTCATGAGCATCGATCCACGCAATTGGGATACGCTGACATGCATCAACCAAGTCAGCGAGCCTGACCACCCGATCCCGTTAGTCGCCTTTTACGACAAGCATAGTCGCCTTTTACGGCAAGTAAGGGTTGCTGAAGACCTATTCATTCCCCGGATCTTCACGGGCCTGCGTGAGGCCCATTTCTATCCACCGCCGTGATAATAATAGTTATGATAACGATGGTGATGATAATAACAATGCGCTTATATAGCGCTGACGTTTGCTCTGTGCGCTATTGCTGGAATAGTGTTCAAAGCGGCGTAAACCTATACTAAGGTACTCAGTAAAATGTTTGATCTAATTGCGTGAGGGGAATCTTCAAACCAAATACCAAAGATACATGTTAATGGTCTACAACTGTATAGAATTGCATTTAACTGATCTCAACAGGCGCTCTGAACATAATGTTTGTAAAACTGTTACTGTCCTATTGGCCTCATGGCCAAAAATACTAATATTCTCTCTGTCCAGTAAAATAACTGTCCACAGTATCCCTGGCCATCCCTAAACCTTTAAGGTGAGGTGAAATGGGGTTTAACGTCGCGTCCAATATTATTGCACTTATATAGCGACGCGCATTCACGTGTGTGTGTGTGTGTGTGTGTGTGTGTGTGTGTGTGTGTGTGTGTGTGTGTGTGTGTGTGTGTGTGTGTGTGTGTGTGTGTGTGTGTGTGTGTGTGTGTGCTTGTACTAGTCCGGACTGATGCCGATTTATAGTGCTATCACACTGAGATACCATGCCGCAGTTTTAACATGAATACCCCACTCAGACACAGTATACTGACTCCGAGCCGACCAGTCCTTGTTTTAGCCCCTTAATGCCGAGCGCCAGACAGGGTAACGACAAGTACCATCTTTTAACGTCTTTTGATATGACACGGCTGGGGATCGAACCCGGACCTTTCGCTCCCCGGGCGGACGCTCTACCACTAGACCACGGAGGCGGTCCGAAAACTTTAAGGTTTCGAGAGATTCCATAATGTTTACACTACTGTCAGGCGATGGAATAGCCTATTATTCCTAACAACGCCCACTTGTCGGGTTTGATGCCAACTTGAGTACAGTGGGCGGATCCGTGAACATCCGGGTTAGAATTAGTCTTCAGCAACCCATGCTTGTCGTAAGAGGCGACTAACGGGATCGGGTGGTCAGAATTCGCTGACTTGGTTGATGCATGTATCCCAATTGCATGGATAGATGTTCAACATGTCAATTAATGGATGGTGTTAGTGGTTGTTTGAGAGATTGTTCGAGTGATTGTGTGACTGTTACAAGCTGTCCACGTATTCGGAAACCATTATTGCCGGATTGCCGCATTTCTTGCGATTTGAAGATTTATTTTTTTATGTTTTAAAACTTGATATCACTTTTTCATATGTTTGTTCATAAATATGTGAAAACACTTCAAGATAATACATGTACCTTTTGTCGACAAAGCCAACTAAAACAGGAAGTGGGCGAAGCTTGTACGGCATGGTGCAAGTATTGCATTAACAGACACTGTAGGCGTGTACGTGCAAGGAAGGGAACACGACAGCACGTAATTCCCACACTTAAATTTTCATTTCAAACAGAGAAAACACATTTTTTTAAAATAAAAATCCGATTGTACTGCATTTGCATGACAGCTATCATACAGGACCTGAATATGTTACTGAAGAACATATTTCATAATTTTGACAAAATTTGACATTGATTAATTATGAAAATGCATGTTGGCTGTCAGCTGTCTTCAGCAAATTTATTAACATAATTTAGAGTTGCTGTAAACAATTGATAGGTGTTACGTACTTGTAACGACAAGATGTTTATACATAAGAATAGTTTCAGGTAGTGTTTTAGGGAAATATAAATCCCTTTTTTGAGATTTTAAAGAATCACGCAGAATTATATTTCCGTTGGTATTCATCATGTTTCTTTGTTTGTTGTTTAACGCCGCACTCAGCAATATTCCAGCTATATGACGGCGGTCTGTAAATGATCGAGTCTGGACCAGACAATCCAGTAATTGATCTCATGAGCATCGATCCACGCAATTGGGATCGATGACATGCATCAACCATGTCAGCGAGCCTGACCACCCGATCCCGTTAGCCGCCTCTTACGACAAGCATAGTCGCCTTTTACAGCAAGCATGGTTTGCTGAAGACCTATTCTTCCCCGGATCGTCACGGGTGAATTCATCATGTACTCTCTCGATATATTGGTATTTATATAGTGATTAGATATGAAATGTCAGCGCTAGAGAATGATCAGTCTAGAGTATCCGCCGAAACATTCCATTGGGTATAAAAGGCAAAATAGTGATGAATATTGTTTGATTGGATCACTGGAAATCACCACGTGTTCGAGAAAAGGGTAAGCATTTCCTGCTCTATCGGCAGCACCCATCACTTGCACTCAAACACATCTTAAAGAAGTATCTGTAAACTGTTGGTAATCACAAAGGATTAACATACCAGTTAACTTGTTCTAACGTTATCAAACGTTATTTTAAAAACAAGAAAGGATACATTAATGTACTCATTTGACAAAAAAAATTAGCAATTCGTGAACGTTTATGAAGTATAATAAACAATAACGAAGAGGTTTTGTCTGAACCATATACTATATACGGTCTTTTCATTGGACGACGAGCGAGCCAGTCACATGACTTTGAAACTAAGAAATCATGCAACTTTAGGAATAACGACGTCTAGTTTATTGCATATGTAATTTGATGTATATTCGTACACTGTTATCAAGCTGGAGTGACTAAAACCAAGTGATGAGAGGTATATATTATTCATGACATGTTGTGATAAGCAGCAGATTATCATTGACTGAGAAAGTAATGGCTAAAAGCTCCGTCGTTCGTACAGCTTGACCCTGTTCCTGACGTGCATGCTCGAAAGAACTGAGTGAGTTGGTTGGGTTTTAACGCCGCTTTTAACATTATTCCAGTTATATCACGGCGTGTCAGCTTAATATGGGAGGAAAGCCCGAAGTGGTGCAGGTCTCAGACGTTTACCACTTTGATGAAACCCACGAGCACGGGTATGGTGCTGACAAACCTAGAAACATAATCGGGGCGAATCGGGATTCGAACCCACAATCATAGGTTTCTGGCGTGTCCAAGGGACGCAACTCTGCACAGCGAATCGCTCGATAGAACTGACACAAAGTGAAAGTCCAATCTTACATACATGTCTACATGTATCTTCCAAACGTGATTGAAAGAAGAGCGTATGATGCATATTTCACGTTAGATATTACACGACAAAACGGGCGTGTCCAACCGCACGATTCCATCCGTCTTACACACAGATGTATATAGGTACGAGGTCAGCTATAAGATACACTCGCCATAGAGCAAGGTATACGCATATTTCACTCATGACAGATGATATGTTCGAGATTCAGGCGACTTAAGGAAGAGTTGTTAAACTGTGTTGTCTTCGTGTTTCCTGGGCTTCTAACTTAAATAATTGCCCTAGTTCCCCTGTAGAACATTCTGGGTGGGGTCCCTATGTTGATGGAGCTTTGTCCCCTTCTTATTCCGGGTCAAACATATTTAGCTGCATTCCTTACCACCTCATGTAATTAATCTGTTCTGCTTCGCCCTAAGCATGTCTAAAAGTAAACCGTAATTTAACAGACCAGAACGGTTTGATAATGCCCTGTGGAGACGTGATGGCTGCAGAATGACCTCCCTGTTTTCTTGTTTGTTTGTTTATTTGTTGTTTAACGCCGCACTCAGCATAATTCCAGATATATTACGGCGTTCTGTAAATAATCGAGTCTCAACCAGACAATCCAGTGATTGACATCATGAGCATCGATCCACGAAATTGGGATACGATGACATGCATCAACCAAGTCAGCGAGCCTGACCACCCGATCCCGTTAGTCGCCTCTTACGACAAGCATAGTCACCTTTTACAGCAAGCATGGGTTGCTGAAGACCTATGCTACCCGGATCGTTCGAATTGAAATTTAAATGCAAATGCATATTCACTAAATGGAAATCGCTAAAACCATATATAAACTTTTGTCGTATACGTTTTTAATTGTTATATCATTGAACAACTGATTTATGCCATTCACGGATACATTTTATCTTATTAATAATTAGGATAATTGGATCTAGATCCAGTACATCCTAATATTGACTTTATTTATTTTTCAAACTTCATCGCCTTCATACTGTACTAAAAGGTATTAGAAACAACTTTATAGTGACCAAAAGTTCACAAGAGACGATACAACTTGTCATGCTTTTCCGGTATACACTTGAAGAAAACAAGAAAGAATTAGATTCTTTTGAAAATATTATTATAAAGATATCAAATATATTCAAAACCTAGAAATGGTTTCAACTTACATCAAATCCTCCGCAGTTTAATTCCCCGTCTCGTTCATTAACAGGTGCACCTTTATATCCGTATCTCCATAGCGACGATCTCTGTGGGGGGTCCAAGAGACGGGCAAAGCCGGTGATCTGTTGAAGTTGACATAAAACAATGAATATCTTTAGAAGAGTCATCCTCACTATCTCTTCACTGGAAATGGTTTGTTTTCAGATTCACCATTTAAATAACCAGATAATGACGTCACCTGCCCTTACAGAGAAATTGCCTGACCTCTTGACCTCGTGCGTTGGATGGTTAGAAAGAAAAGGTGTGTTCCCTCGCACCACCTTGTCTGCCGTCATGGAAAACCGTCACCTTCTCGACTGGGCGGATTGTGTAAAACTATTGTTCGTAAACAAGTCATTTTACATATCTTATCCACATTTTTAAAAAAATAAATATATATTTTTAAAATCTAATCTGAGCTCATCAAATGAACATTTAGTCACGCATAAGAGTCGTTTTTGTTATGTTTTCCCCACATGTAGAATATCATGCTGAAATTTAGGATTGTAGAAAATATTGTATGCGTATGATTTTATAAATTTCCATTCCAACGTGTGAGACAATCAAACTCTCAGGATCGCCTCCGAGGTGCAGTGGATAGAGCGAAAGGTAGGTTGTTCGATTCCCGGCCCCTTTATATATATACCAAAAGACGTTAAGAGATGGTAGTTGTTGTTACCCTGCCTGTTGCTCGGCATTAAGGGATAAAACAAGCACTGGTCGGCTCGGAATCAGTATTCTGTGTCTGAGTGGGGTATTCATGTTGAACTGCGGCATGGTATTTCTGTGGACGAGGACTATTAATTGTACGCACGCACGCAAGCACACATACACACACGTGCATGCAGGTCGCTATATGAGTGCAGTATTCTTGAACGCAGCGTTAAACACGCATTTCACCTCACCAGGGGTGGTGGGTGGTGGGGTAGTCTAGTGGTTAAAGCGTTCGCTCGTCACGCCACAGACCCGGGTTCGATTCCCAACATGGGTACAATGTGTAAAGCCCATTTTCGATGTGGAACTGCTTTATAAATGACGTGAGTGAGTGAGTATGGTTTAACACCGCTTTTACCAATGGGGGTAAAGTCACTTGATTCATGTGGTAGCTCGTTCTAACGACTAACATGGGATATAGGGCACCGTTCTAACGACTAACATGGTCTAACGACTAACATGGGATATAGGGCACCGTTCTAACGACTAACATGGGATATAGGGCACCGTTCTAACGACTAACATGGGATATAGGGAACCGTTCTAACGACTACCATGGGATATAGGGCACCGTTCTAACGACTAACACGGGATACAGAGGCCACCGTTCTAACGACTAACATGGGATATAGGGCACCGTTCTAACGACTAACATGGGATATAGGGCACCGTTCTAACGACTAACATGGGATATAGGGCACCGTTTAACGACTAACACGGGATATAGGGCACCGTTCTAACGACTAACATGGGATATAGGGCACCGTTCTAACGACTAACACGGGATACAGAGGCCACCGTTCTAACGACTAACATGGGATATAGGGCACCGTTCTAACGACTAACATGGGATATAGGGCACCGTTCTAACGACTAACATGGGATATAGGGCACCGTTCTAACGACTAACACGGGATATAGGGCACCGTTCTAACGACTAACATGGGATATAGGGCACCGTTCTAACGACTAACATGGGATATAGGGCACCGTTCTAACGACTAACATGGGATATAGGGCACCGTTCTAACGACTAACATAGGATATAGGGCACCGTTCTAACGACTAACATGGGATATAGGGCACCGTTCTAACGACTAACATGGGATATAGGGCACCGTTCTAACGACTAATATGGGATACAATGGGCACCGTTCTAACGACTAACACGGGATACAGAGGGCACCGTTCTAACGACTAACACGGGATACAGAGCCAGCGTTCTAACGACTAACACGGGATACAGAGGGCACCGTTCTAACGACTAACACGGGATACAGAGCCAGCGTTCTAACGACTAACACGGGATACAGAGGGCAGCGTTCTAACGACTAACACGGGATACAGAGCCAGCGTTCTAACGACTAACACGGGATACAGAGGGCACCGTTCTAACGACTAACACGGGATACAATGGGCACCGTTCTAACGACTAACACGGGATACAGAGGCCACCGTTCTAACGACTAACACGGGATACAGAGGCCACCGTTCTAACGACTAACACGGGATACAGAGCCACCGTTCTAACGACTAACACGGGATACAATGGGCACCGTTCTAACGACTCACACGGGATACAGAGGGCACCGTTCTAACGACTAACACTGGATACAGAGGACACCGTTCTAACGACTAACACTGGATACAGAGGACACCGTTCTAACGACTAACACGGGGTACAGAGGCCACCGTTCTAACGACTAACACGGGATACAGAGGCCACCGTTCTAACGACTAACACGGGATACAGAGGCCACCGTTCTAACGACTAACACGGGGTACAGAGGCCACCGTTCAAACGACTAACACGGGATACAAAGCCACCGTTCTAACGACTCACATGGGATACAGAGGCCACCGTTCTAACGACTAACACGGGGTACAGAGGCCACCGTTCTAACGACTAACACGGGGTACAGAGGCCACCGTTTTAACGACTAACACGGGGCACAGAGGCCACCGTTCTAACGACTAACACGGGGTACAGAGGCCACCGTTCTAACGACTAACACGGGATACAGAGGCCACCGTTCTAACGACTAACACGGGGTACAGAGGCCACCGTTCTAACGACTAACACGGGGTACAGAGGCCACCGTTCTAACGACTAACACGGGGTACAGAGGCCACCGTTCTAACGACTAACACGGGGCACAGAGGCCACCGTTCTAACGACTAACACGGGATACAGAGGCCACCGTTCTAACGACTAACACGGGCTACAGAGCCACCGTTCTAACGACTAACACGGGATACAGAGGCCACCGTTCTAACGACTAACACGGGATACAGAGGCCACCGTTCTAACGACTAACACGGGATACAATGGGCACCGTTCTAACGACTCACACGGGATACAGAGGGCACCGTTCTAACGACTAACACTGGATACAGAGGCCACCGTTCTAACGACTAACACTGGATACAGAGGACACCGTTCTAACGACTAACACGGGGTACAGAGGCCACCGTTCTAACGACTAACACGGGATACAGAGGCCACCGTTCTAACGACTAACACTGGATACAGAGGCCACCGTTCTAACGACTAACACGGGATACAGAGGCCACCGTTCAAACGACTAACACGGGATACAAAGCCACCGTTCTAACGACTCACATGGGATACAGAGGCCACCGTTCTAACGACTAACACGGGGCACAGAGGCCACCGTTCTAACGACTAACACGGGGTACAGAGGCCACCGTTCTAACGACTAACACGGGGTACAGAGGCCACCGTTCTAACGACTAACACGGGGCACAGAGGCCACCGTTCTAACGACTAACACGGGATACAGAGGCCACCGTTCTAACGACTAACACGGGCTACAGAGCCATCGTTCTAACGACTAACACGGGATACAGAGGCCACCGTTCTAACGACTAACACGGGATACAGAGGCCACCGTTCTAACGAATCACACGGGATATAGGGGATCAACATTGTAATCCAACATTACTCAAGGGCGGGTCCAGCATTTTTAAAAAGGAGGGGTCCAAAATATTAAAATCCTCTCTCAGATATTTCACTGCTCACAACACACTACATTTCATACTACATTTCGTGTTAATGAATCAAACAAACAGTTTCCACGCCCCGCCTTCGGTAATATCGTGTTTATTATTCTGGGAGATGACACTGCTGAAGAGAAACACATTGTTGAACATATACATAATCCTTTTCATGTGACGCGGGGGCATGTATGACACAATGTCAAACAACTTGAAATATACATGGTGACAAGCAGCACAATACTCCCTCGGGACAATAGCAAGAGTGACAATGAGACTGAAGTGTATTAATGAAGTTGAGGATGAAATGACAAATTGATACATCAGTATTATTCTGTCATTGTGGACGCTGATGTGGGTTGTAATCACAGCGGGTCACACTTACTGTATTGACGTCTTTTGCGACGTTTGCTGTGTTTGTTGTGTTTATTAAAGACTTGAGCCCAGCAGAGTGTCTTGACCAATCAGATATCGTCATATGATCACGTGATGGCCATTCACACACGGTGGCATTGTATTGCAAATAGGATTGTGTCCTGCACGTGCTTTATTTACATGCAAAACGCGATATGTGGCTGTGACGTAGGTGAGACAGCAAGCGACAACATTTGATCGGAACATAAACCTACCGTCGTAGAAGAAAAAGCTTGACATCGTGAGACATTGTTTTCGGCATATATTATCAGACTGAGAGTCTGTCGTCATTCGTCCTGTATTCCCCACATATGCGCATATGGCCATTGACACCCACACTGGTTTTATTAATGAATAAAAATTATTCCACCATGACATCATGTCACAGTTTAGCATCTCTCTACACCAATGCCCCATTACACGTAACATGTATTCATGACACCATCCTTATAATAAATGACCAGACCCTGGAGATGTTCAAACAAAAAGAACAAATTATTTGAAAAAGTGGGAGTTGCGTCCCTTTGTGGTAACTGGATCCGATTATCGTAGGTTCGAATCCCTTGATCCGGACTCGAAGGTTTTATTAAAGTAGTTAACGTTTATCTGTGCCGTTTTGAGATTTCATTCCACGTGTATTTAAAAATATGTTATGGTAGACATATGGAAAACATTTCCAAAGGTGCCCAAAATGATTTCCCCATTTTGACCTGTACCCTTATTTCTGTGGGGTCTTTTCAGGTGAAAGCTTGTCTTGCCTTTGCATGTGTTTATGACGGGTACCACTGGTGGGGCAGGATACGCTCACCTATGACGAACACCTGGTATCATCGCTATTTGATAATGATTCATAAACACAGGCTTATGATACAGCCGGTATCATACAATGAACTCTTCTTTTATCAAAGGGGGCACGGGTGGCTCAGTCGGCTAAGGCGCCGCGATTCGCTGTGCAGAGTTGCGTCCCTTGGGCACACCAGAAACCTATGATTGTGGGTTCGAATGAAGAGTTTCTGTGGGAGGAAATCACAAATAAAATAAGAGACAAATACCTATCCATAACCATTATCATAAGAAACCTTTACTAAAAGTGAGTGAGTGAGTTGGGTTAAACGCCGCTTTTATCAGTATTCCAGTCATATCACGGCGTATCAGCTTAATTAAGGAGGGAAGTCCGAAGTGATG